AATTGTGGTCTATTCGTAATTTGGCAATATTTATTTTAGAAAATGATTTGTTCTGTAGATATTCAGAAGTTTTAGGAGCTTGTATTATTTTTATGACTTTGCCAATCACAGTTGCTACTGCCGAGAGATCATTCTGCGATGGTTAAAGGAAAAATAATAATTTTGTGGTTTCCGTTATAATATTTTTAAGTTTATCTCCCTCGTCGGAGTTTAATTTGACGTCAACGAACCAAAAGCAGAATCGATTCAGAGAGAAAGATAAGCTACTTAATTTTTTTGTCAGAACCGATTTTGTTCTCTACCTATTCAAATTTATTATTTCCAGTGAATAATTTAATTATTTCAACATATGTCGTTATCTACATAATAATCTATACATATTAATTTATAATTTATTCGTATGACTTAACGATAAATCGACATTACAGCAAATCTAATTTTAGTTTATAAGTAGTAATAATGAAAATTATAATAAAATTATCAAGTTATAAATAACAGATGTAATATAATATATGTGTAATGCAGATGTAATAGAACGATATCACGAAAAGTGTATAATATCTATCTAAAACGACTACTATTCGGATATTGCATCTGTAATGTTATGCTCGCACAATATATCTACGTACAATTTATTATTTATATATTATTACAAGTGTGATTATAAGATTCAAATGTACCCATGTACTCGGTATTCTCTATTAAAAAAAGTTCATAGTTTAATAAACACGACGGAACATTCGTTCTTCGAGAGGGATACATACTATGCTTTTTACAATTAAAATAGGTCAAATATAGTTGAAATTTGCGACATCCGTTTCAGTCCTCCGAGGACATTACCGTGCCGTCGCCACAATCGTACTCTGAGTGTTCTTTTAATTTCCATACAAGACCCCCAATAAGTATAATCTTATTATTAGTTATCTTCTATCGATACCAACGCGAGGCCAACGGGGCCGGTTTAAACTCACAAATAATAACGTTTTTTTCATTGTTCGAGAAAGATCCATATCCCATTTATTATTTTCATTAGAAATATTTCAATACGAAATAAAAATATAGATATACGACGTCTGTAAAATCACACTGCCGTCGTCACACTCCTACACTTGATACCATTGATTCACGACTCTGAATCCCTCCAAACATCAGGAAGAAGATAGTAATATAATCATTATATACCTATTCGAAATTTTTATATATTTAATAATAATTCATTCTTTGTGTTACCACATTAAAGAGAGGATTTTATAACTAGTGCAAACCTATACTCCTATTTTATGTATAGTGACCACCCAATTATTTATAAATTTTTTTATTCTTTCTTTCTTTTCTTTATTTTTTTCACTACTACACACCATAGCCACTTTGATATAACTAACATAAATATAATGATTAATTCACAGATGTACGTCCAATTCCTTTATCCATTTTATTGCGTGGATTCCTTCGATGTCCTGGTTGAATATCTTCAATTGACATTCAGTTACAATGTGATTTACGGTTTGTGTTAATAGTTGTTGTCAGTTGATGAACTGTCCCGCGATAAAGTGGCCGCGATGAAGTGGCTGCGTACCGTGTTAATAATAGGAAGTGTCTGTTTGCCAGTACAGTACAGCCGAATCGGTCGTACGCAGAGCCCAGAAGTCTAAATGTTTGCATTCAGATGCGAGTGAACGGGTCAATATGCACGAATCCTCGAAACCGGATTTCCTAAATTCAACCCATAAACAATGCCTGTCAAAGGGTTTTTAGTATTTTTGTAAATATCGATTACCTTGGTGACATAGATAGGGGAAAAAACGTTATTACAAGCTAATTTGATTATCATTGACACTGAAGTACTCATTTTAAAAAAATAAATGACCAGACAACAACGGTTAAGAGGAGGCTAGAGGAGCGTTCACTATTATTTTCTCCTTTTTAACTTGTTCGATCTGTGTTTGAACTCAACCTGAACGTCACAATTTACCACAGTTTATATTTTAAGTAAATTAATAATTTAATAATTAGTTACACTATAGACTCTGTAGAGAAATTTTAAACGCAGGTATCTATAGCCTCATCTTAAAGATACTTAAATACACTATTGAGAAAATAGGAGTTTACGTGCGTCATCATCGAGCGTATTATGCCGTATTACATTTACTGTAAACATTACACCAAAATATCGGATAATATACGAGTGTAGGTACATGTCACTCCGTTAAACAGTCGTTCACGTCCCCTCGTGCAGAGCATAGCTTTTGACCTTTTTCTTTTACCGCCTTACGGGAATATTCAATTTACAATTTATTAAAACAATACATTGTATAACAATTAACAATATTACATTTTTTCTTTATGAAATAAAACATAAAACTATTAATACTGAAAGCGGCGTATATAAATATTTAAATACCTATGATGTAATTTTATATTCCGAGTGTACGAGTCGATACTATATAGCACCTATAGACGTTTTAAAAGATTATTTTTCTAGATTTTCGAGAGTTTACATTACATGAAACAACAAATTTTTGTAATAAGTTTACCTAGGTCAAATGATTTAGCAAATCTTATTTTTGCTACTTTTCGTATAACACACATTTTTTTTTTCTAGGCAAACATTTGAAAAAAAAACTTTTTTCAAAAATTGTATTAAATATATGTCGCAAATGCGTTGCTAGGGTACGTACCTAATTTTAATAATCCCTATAAATACTAAATACTAAATCTTCAATACTTTTATTTATTTTTTATCTATTTGATCTCTTTTAAAAAGAAAATCAAATGACAACCAAATAAATAATAACTATTTTTTGTCACCAGAGTTACCTACCCTTCAATAAAAAAAAAAAAAAAAAAAACAATTAAACTTTTTGTTTCTTTTAAAGGTTGAATTCCGATATAAAAGCAGCCTAAATCATGTCCAAAAAACTAGTCCAGGTAGCATCTCATCGGAAAATTAGTTTATCCGTTTCTGAAATAAGTCAACCAGACAAACCGATGTAGACACACATCAATTCTATATTTTTATACGTATATAATTGATAAGAAATAAGTGTAACTATGTTTATTATAATATTTCCTTGACCTATATTTAAGATTTTGAGCGAAGCGGAGAACGTCACTAACGGGTTCCGCCCTCCAAGTTTTAATTTAATTCGACCCATTTTTTTTCGGGGCGACGGGCGGGACTCGAGAGAAATCGATTGACGTCGCGCGCCGCTGGTTTTCGACACGTTTCCTAAAACCGACGGAGCACATACAACACGGAAGTAAACTTATACGAAATAGTATAAGTAAAGTACATAATACATCGTGACCAAGTACACGGCCGGTCGTTGTTAACAGAAAATGTCCCGAACCGATAGACTAATTTTTCGAGGCAGATTACTTTAGCAAACACTAGGACGAGTTGGGTGTGTATACAGCAAATTAATACACGAGTTTTCGTATTGTATATGTTTGATTTTTGTACCTACTCATTGGCGATGTACGAATCGAGCCACTGAACAAAATAAAATATTATGCTCGTTTAGAACAGTAACGTCATTACAGTATTTGCTTTATGCAAGGACTTAGTTTTTAAATTGTTTACTGACAAATTGGTTATTTTTTTGATTGTTAAACCAATAGCCAGTAAATATAAATTGCGAGTGTTCATTGTATGGAACACTGCTCATGGATAAGACCACTGTTGCAGGGGCGAAGTCGTAAAGGTGGAACAAATGGGATAATTTGATTTACCTCTGTATGCAATCAATCATATATGATTGCTAATGATAAAAAATTCTGATCGAAGTTTGATAAACAAGCTTCAAAAATTTGAATGTTTTAATTTATAAAAAAAAACTACATTGAGCTTAATTTTTTACCACTAAACACAAAGTATGATAAACTTTGTTTATTTATTGCGTACATTTTTTCTAATATTATCAAAAATTAAATTTAAAAAAAAAGAACCGATACTGGAGATAGGTACAACTACTGTTGTAGGTGGAATACATAAATTAATTTAATTTATACCTGTAACCAATATAAACCACTGCTAACGAAAAATAATTCGAAGTAAAGTTCAGTTATAGGTACATGTTTTGAAAGACGGTAATATTTAAGATTTTTTACAAAATTTTATTTTCCAGTTCTTATTAAACAAAATATATTGCACTCAATTTTTTATTTTTTTACTTCCAAGTACACCTTCCTAAACTTCCTGTTTCAATTTTCAAGCATTTCTGTTTAGTTAACAATTTTATCCACAAAGTACCTACCAAATAAAAATTACGTAAAAACTTGCAAAATTGAAATGTTTATAAATAGTTCAAAAGTTTTGTAAATTTGACCACATCTAGAAAAAGCAAATACAAGTTTTCTATACAAATTTCAAGTCTATGCATATTTTAACTGAATGACGAAAATCATATTTTACCGTTTTTTCCAGTTGTTATGAAAAATACTTTGGATATTAAAAAACGACTTTCTATGTAGCTAGATATTAATAGAAACAAATTTCAAACCTTGTCTTTTTACAATTGGAGCAGTATTTTTTGTAGAAAACATTGTGAATACAAAATTTAAAATAAATAAAACTGGCTCCTCGGAAAATATTTGTTTTACCTATAATTAAACTTATAATCAAAAATTGACTTACTAATAAACAAACTAAAGAAAATTTCCTTTCAGAAAAGGTGCTAGATTTGTTACTTTCAAGCAAGATTTCTGGTTTTACAGACAAAAAAAAAGCTAGACAAAATGTGATTCTGACCAATTTCTAAAGTTTTAAGTTGTTGAAATTATAAGATAGTTGGTAATTTTATTTGATGACCATTTATTAATAACATAAACATTTTTTATTCTATTTTATAATGGTCACCTTTCATTTATTATTATTTTGGTTTTTTACCCAGTTGGTTAGATGGATAAGGAAAAGTATGAAACCAGAGAAATAAATTGAGTACTTCACAGTCTGGGTTCCCCAATTTTTGTTTAAAATTAATATACACACAAGATTTTTTTCAAATATAATGTTGCAGTTGGTTTTATTCTTAAAGGCTTAATAAAATTATATATATATAAAAAAAAAAAATCATACAAATGAGATTATTCTCATTACAACACTTGGATGATAATATATAGTAAAAGTATAAAATAAATATTAAAAAAAAGTCAATATTAATAGTATATAGTTATTATAATATAATAATGTATAATGATAAGAGAATAGGTTTTTTTTTTTTTTTTTTTTGAAAACATGAATATGCTAAGAGAATAATTAATTACTTATAGCTAGTTCGGCATTTCTTGACATGACGAAGCCGAAGGGGTACGAGAGAAGGTATAATATGTATTGTTATTCGAACAAAAACAAAATAGGTGTACACAGTGGAAATTGTTCTTGCTCGATTCTTTTCTTTTTATCGCTTAAATAATAAAATTAATTTATACACTTAAAACATAAAATATATATAATAATATGTATAAAATTATATAAATGGTAGAAAAATTTACATCATACAGAGAGGATATTGTCACCAAAATAGGAAATTATGAAGGGGAGGAGCGTTTCATTAATTAAAATTACATATTATATTATAAAATGATATATTATTGTATGTATAGCTAAGCGGAATTTTATCGAGGTCCGGTTTGTCTGGTCCCCATTTTAATAAAAGCATAGGCCAAACAAAATGTTCTTAACACTTAAATAAATGGATAATTAATTATAATTATTATACTTAAGAGTTATTCATTATTACCTGAGCTTCAATTTTATCTCCCAGTTTATAATAAATGTAGATATAAGTTTTTATTGTTTATTATTATTATTATTATTTTTTTTTTTGATGTCCAAAACATTATATTAATAATTAATATTTTTATCTTAGTGGAGTCAATTATCTTATCAAACACATTTGTTCAATAGTTGAAGTATATATTATTATAATAAATTTCTTGTTCACGAATACAAAATCAAAAATGTTATTAAAAAAAATTGGATTCAGATATTTTGTGTTTTATGTTTTTATAAAACACGTAACTTATAAATATGTCATGTATGATTTTTTTTTTTTAGTTTTAGTCAATAGTATATTATTGGTGGATCGAAAGTGTCGGTGAAATCGCTTAATTTAAAATGATGTTGATGAGTCTGTTTTATTGTTACCAGTGCAAATACCGCTCATTTGTCTTCTGGTTCTTTCTCTCCTTCTTTCTTTCCATCATCCTGTAATAAAAATTTGTTTAAATATTATGATATAATATACAAAGAGAATATGCGAATAAGTTAGTATCACAGAGGTATTAATAGGTTCATACTATTATCCACATAAAATACAGGCTATAATAAGAATGATTTATACTCACTTTCTCTTCAGCTTCCTTTGATGCTTCTTTTTCAGTGGCTTTCTTGTTTACGTCTTCTTTAGGCTTTTCTTCAACTGGCGGTGGTTTTGGCAAATGGCTGTTCAAATCTAGATTTTTGCACATATCTTCCCATTCAGGGAAACACCGTTCCTTGATGCGATTTGTGTGTTCTACTAAGTTTTCAAAATTGTCCACGAAATAATCACGCAATTGGCATTCGACTTCTTTTTCTAAGAAGTACAATTGTGCCAAGTTTGCAAAAACTACTACATCCAACTGAAAATTGTAATTTTAACCTTAATCATGATGATCTTTTTTAGAAAAATTGTGAAGTATAAAAAAAAATATAAAATTACAGTTGTAGGTTCATTTCCAAAGAAGTACAATTTATCTCCTAAAAATTCTGACAAAACTTTAAGATCATTTTGTCCGAATTCCAAGATGTCTTCAGGTTTGTGGACACCAATTCCTTGAGATTTAACTTTCTTTAACCCCTGTGAAATAAACCAACCAATTTATTAGTTAGATGGTATGTTAATTTTTTGTTGTTTTGGAACACTCACTCTTCGGCTATAACTATACTTAAAGAAGAAATTAAGAAGAGGATTTGGAACCCATGTACCAAGGGCATGCTGCAAATTCAATTTGTATCCTTTAATTACATTTTCTGGAGTTTTTGTCTTCCACCATGTTATCACCCTGAAATCAGCACATTTGGGTAAATTAATCAAAATATACAAAATGACTGACAAATTTACTGTACAATCTAAAGAGGGAGTAATACATACCATACAAATTTATTTTCAATCATCGAGATCATAGCATGTGATATGTTACGTTGCTCTTGGCTCAATCCAGCGTCAATGTCTTTGCCGAATTTCTGGCCAAGTTCTTTAATTATTAGAGTACTATCAGCAATTTCTTCTCCGTTCAATTCAACAAATGGCAATTGTCCTTTTTTGGAACGGTATTTCATTTTGTGGTCGATATTCTAAACAAATAATAAATTCGAAATTAATTTTAACTATTTAAGGATATAGAATATAAACTTTGTTTAAAATTATTACTATTAAATTATTTTCGTTTTGGTAAAAAAAATGGTCATTATAAAAAGAACAAAACCCTTTTCATAGTGTTTGAATATTTTTGTTGTCACACCACCAGAAAAAGCTATGGCTAATGTGTATGTAGTGCAGGAAATTACAGTAATCATTAGACCAGAGATGCTTATCCGTCGAGGATTCTAGGGCAATGACCCAACCAAGTCATTAAGAACGAAATTATTCGTTGGTCGCGTATACCTAAAGGTATAAGTGGTAGAAAAACACTTATTTTTCAGATTTTCAAATTAAGGTCAAAAATCAAGAGAGTAGGTTGTTTTTTCCAGAATCGGTAGACCTTGACGAAACAACAAACGAGCGACGAAGTGATCGCTTACACAAAGATACCGAACGAGTGCAAAAAAAACAAACAAAAAAACAAAAAAAACTAGGTGTTTGTCACATGTCAACAAATAATAATCACACACGGGTGAAATAATATAACGGACATCACAACTATTGCGTAATCCGAAATTCGTCACATTTATGGTAGACCGGTAGACGGCGATTTCGTCGTTCGCTCGTCAAGATTAGCGGATTACTTTTTATACACACTGCGGATATATTTCGATATTTGTTCGTAACAAAACAATTATAAACGGCGAGTACTATTTTTTGTTCAGGTACGAGAAGGTTGTCGCCGTATGCGGAATAATATGTTGGTTTAATTATGGCGTGATGTCGCTGACAAAATGTATATGTATATTATTCTACACACACGATAGGTACCTATGGCGAAAGTTTACTCGCGGACCAGAACACGGGCGAGGAAACGGGTCAATAACCTCGCCGCCCCAACATAATATAATACGTTTCCACGGATTCCGGGGGCGTGGATCGTGTAAAAACTTTACCGGTTTTCCCGTACCAGCGTCGCGTATAGTGGCTTCTTTTTATCTATGCATGTACATATTTATTTATTTAATTTTTTTTTTTTTGCTTTAATCGCGTCGTTTGAGGTTTAATTAAAACCCGCGGTAAAGAGTCTCTCACTTTAAAACTGCACGTACGAACACGTACGCGGCGCGCACGAACGACGGCGTCGAAACAATTTTTCCAAGAGAATATAATAATGTGAAACACACCCTGTTGCATAATATAAACGCTAACGATTCGCCGCCGACTGTGCGCGCTACGCCCGAGCATACACACGAGCGCAGAAATCCCTTATAAACATTATTATGTATACGTACACACATAGCCGAGGGTTTATTGAACTCTGCCGGGCCGGAGAGAAGAACCGAGCCGGCGGTCGCCATGGCGACCGCCGGGTGTATAGGGCGGTGGCCGAGGAGGAGTTTATGGTTCAGACGGCGACAACTGTGTTATTGATCTCTTTCGCCATTAACACACACACACACGCCCGCGCGCGCGCGAGCGCCAAACACGCACGCACAAACAACACCCCCGTGCTGCCGGAAACTCGCGGGCTAGAGAACATTTTTAAAAACCCCCCCGACGACATAATAATATTATAGTTGTAGTACGTTTACATTACGCCGTTTTCCCCTCTCGCTAGTCGCACTATTTTTAAGCACGTCGAACCCCCCCCCTCCTTCCCCCCGGCCGGTTTTTTCTCTAACCGAGCAATATTATTATACTCGAATCGACCAGCGATAATAAATCGAGCCGGGCCCGCGCACGCAGTAGATTGCCGTCGAGATAACGCAAATACAGTCGAACCGTAATCCGCCACCAGCCGGGCGGCCCGACCGAAGTCTTCACGTTACAACAACCTCGGGGAAAAACTTCGGTGCGACAATTGCGATGTAATATTATTAGTACACGTAATATTATATGCGGAATCGAAAAAAATAATAATAATAAATGCATTTCTCGGATTTTAACGAGACGGAGCAATAGACCTTGGCGTTTTAATTGACTGTCCGCGGGGTGCAGAGCAGTCGTTCGGCTCTCAGACCCGCGCGGCCTTCGACAATTTCCTCAAATAATATTATGCTCGTTTCGGTTCCGATAATATTGTACACCGGCGACTTTCCCCCGCTTGACGTTACGGCGCCGAGATAACACACCAAAGTCAACGAGCAGACACCGTACACGACAAAAATAACAAGAGGCGCGGTCGTCGGGACCCACCGGCCTTTATAAGAGGAACTATAGATTTTGAGCAGGATATACGGGACACGGAGAAATCGGTGCGCGTACTCTTAATGTGCGCATAATAGAAGCCTACGAGTTCGGGCCCGATTGAATAACAATAATACTGTTACTGCTACGATTAATTTAATCGTGTGCATCACCGCCACATTTTCGTATACGGGCACCGTCGTCGCGCGTAATCATCGGGGACACACAATTTACTGTTAATATAACGTATATTACACACGAATATGATACGATGCCACGCGCATATATTGTTATTTATTATAATAACGACGATGAATTAATATTTGTTATTATAAGGTCAAAGTTTTTCGGTGTGCGGGGCCCGTTGAGAACGCCGTCGTCCAAGTACAAAGGAATGCGCGCATTCCACGCGCGTATTTTATTATATTCACGTTCCGTATGTTATGATAAAAAAAAAAAATCCCCTCGCGCTCCCGTCCGCGCGGCTTCCGACGCGAGATCTATTGACGTGGTAATTAAATAACGTAACGCGTGTATTATTATTATAATATGTACGCGCTTCCGAAGGAGAGAAGAGACGATGATAATAATAATGACAATACGATGAAAAAAAAAAAAAAAAATAATAATAATAATAATAATAATATTACAAATTCCGGTGAGAACCGTCGATCGTCAACGATTCGTCGGCGACCGTGGATCGGGGGGAGAGAGAACCAAGACTTTTTATAGATTTCCGAACGACGAACTGACGGAATGTATCGGTTTTATTGTGCGCGTAAACAATTATTATTATTCTACTAGAAATCTTGCTCAGATTAACTACCCTACGGATGAACGTTCTTGCAGCATCCGTAGACGGCGCATTATAGGGAGGTCGTTTTTTTTTCTTCGATTTTACCCGTAGTTTTATAGAAATATAAGAAAAAACTAGCGATTTTTGAATTGCCATGGCAACATAGTGAAAAAATAATACTCGTCCCAAAATCGTTCTCATTAGCAAACGGTTTATCGACGATATGAATTAAATTACTCCGTTATATTATCCTTCCAATTTTCCTCGACACACCTATCCGCCATTTTTTATTTTTTATTATAAAATATCATTCAAGAATTTCAATATTATATTTCGAGTCAGACGCATTCTTTCTCCCGAAAAATGAATCAATACATCTTCTCTATACTGTAACGGTTTTTCAAAAGTACCGTTAGAAGGCAACTTTTATTACTTCCGCCTCTTTCTTAACTATATTAACCTCCAATGTCAATATTTCCTAATTTTTCTCCCAGGGTTAGAAAAATTGAACTAATCAACAAAATTATTTAGGTGTATTAGAAAAAAAAAAAAATGAAAGAAATGATACCGATGATCAGTGTATCACTTTTATAGACGGGAAGTTGAAAATATAGGATGTATGGTTATTTAATCTATATCTGAACGCAACGATAAACCATTGCTAACGAAATACGATTCTGGGCGAAATTTGGGTTGTAATATATATGTTTTAAAATGGTGTAAATTGTGCGATTTTAATCAAAATTTAACTCAAAAGACTTTTGTTAAAAAACAAAATTGAATAAAAAAATTTAGTTATTCATTCTATAAGAATAATATTATTATCTTCAAACAAATGATAAAAATTCAAGTAGAATGACAGATTGTTACGGAACTGTATGTACGTACAATAATATCGTACGAAAAACCAATAATTTCACTGTGTTCTGGATGCCCGGCACATTAAATGCGAATCTCTCGTAATCGCTTCGTCAAACTTCAAACGTGTTAACAGTTCAGACTACGAAACGCGACGAACCGTAAGTCTTTTCCGCCGCCCGAACACGGGGGAAAAAAAAGAATTCTGCACGCATTTCAGTCAACCGAACTTTCCCCCCCCCCGTCGCCAACGAAAATACAGGACGAGAAAAAACCTACGGTGAAAAAACAAAAAACCCCGACGGCGACAATCGACGGGTTTTTATCACATCGAGTGCCGCAGCAGTAACGACGCGCGGAATGTCGCGTGTGCGTAACGTTATTATGACGTGCGGGCGCGCGTGCGTGAAGGAACACGACACTTTAAAAAGAAATAACAATTTGTCCTTTAACGCGTCATGTAATTGACCAATGAATACAATATCGTACACGAAACCGGCATCGTAGTTGAAACCGTCGGACGGGAAACGGGGCGCGGCGAACAATTTGGGTACCTATTATTACCACAGTGCACAAGCACAATCATCGCGACGACGGAACCGTACATTAAAAACGGTCTCTGTGTGTACACACCGGTATATTGTTATTGTTATTATTATTATGATCATTGTTATCATCGCGGTAATCAACAAGACGAATGACCACCATTAACGTTTTGTCGGTATCGTGGCGGCCCCCGAGGGCCCGCGGCGGCGTACCGTCTTTTAATAAGGATGTGCTCGGAATTGATCCGGCGACGACAAATGCCTCCTCTTCTCTCCCGTATACTATTATATTATTGCGTTATTATTTCGTCAACGTACATACATTAATGGGTTTTACGGTAATAATTTACGCATTGTTACGTAAAGAAGACGGGGGAGAAAAAAAAAACGCGATTATTATTTTAGGGGCTGACGGTCACACGAATACGGGCGTATGATATTTACCGCGTGTGCGAGAGAGGAGACCGAATGACTCACCCGCGAGCGCGTTTATAATACTATTCATGTGTATGTGTGTGTGTGTTGATGTAAAAAAAAAAAAAACGAAAAAATCCGATACGACGAGAGGGCTTCGGTAACGGTTACGCAGTTTATATTTATATTATTATGTATGTGCGTTTCGATTGAAAAATTCCCCGTGAAATTGAAACCGAACGACGACGACGGGGATCGAGGATAGCGAACGGAAAAAAAAAAATATAATAAAAATCGCGAACCGGTCGGGCGTCGCGATTTTTCTCGTACGAGTGTTTACAGACCCTAACCGAGTTCGGGGACTCGGCACGGAAGCGCGTGTAACCTCGCGAGACCGACTGCGGGTTTCACAACGATTGTCGCGGGTCTCCCGAACCCGAGATACTGCGGGCGCCGAATAGAATACGACCCGGTAAATCCCGAGCTTAGGCTCCCAAAACCTAACGGGTCCGGGGGGGGGGGCGACGAAAAGAGCCGTGTCGCGGGTCGCGCGTTTACATGCAGCTACGGTCGAACCCGGGATAGGATCTGTAAATACGCTACCCGTCTGTGCAGCGGCTATTCAAATATCGTCGTCGGTCGATATTTATTATTATTATTATTATATCGTGGAAATAAACTCCTCGGGTATCAACGATAATGTAACGTTATGCGAGCAGCTGCTCCGGAGAGTCCGCGGCCAGTTTTACTACAACAGGTTTCACGGGTACTTATTTTATTTTATTTTTTTAATAATAATGTCTATACAGAACACGAGATGCTCGCGATGGAATGCACTTTGCCACCTTTACACTCCTCGGCGGCACGGTTGCACGCACATAATAATATTATAATATGCATTTGTATACGATAACAACGACAAAAAAAAAAAAAAAACGATCATACCCAATAAATAATAATAATATTATAACGCAGTACGAGACTGCAAGTCGGAAACGTTTCGATAAGATAATTATTAATGAAAATCAAAACGTGAGCTGAACGTCCGCTATCCGGTTGCAAATCCTACGGGGAAAAAAAAGGAGAGAGGGAATAACTTGATTATAATAATGCACACACAATGCAATATTGTGCAGTGCGTGCGACGCCAATAATATTATTATGACGGACGAGTTTGCGAACGCGAAAAGAATACCTAATTTTAAAATATCGTATTATTATTGACGGTAGAAGCCTTGGGAGAAGGTCTGACACAAAGTTATAAGATTATAACTTACTCAGGATGATAGTGTGTCTATTTTGTAAAATGAAAATGTCGAAACATGAGCAACGCGGTTGTGAAAGAAAAAAAATACTGCGTCTAAATAAATTCTGATGGTCGAGATTATTTCTCGACGGTCGGAATTAGAGTCGTAAACGATTAACAGTTACCAGACACCCTGTACACACACACATGCATACAACGGGATTTATGGTTTTTATATGTTCTTATTTGAATTCGTATAATAATAATAATAATAATAATAATAATAGTTTCGGTCGTAATACATATGGACGAGGTGAAAATTGTTACCAGAGCATCTGCATGACGAGCAATATTAACATTATCTATACCTACATAAATATCAAGATTTTTACACGCGTGGAAACAATACGAATAAAGTGTATAAATGTAAACGAATTGAGAGGGGTATTAAGTAGGTTATTTATTTAATTTCCGTGAAAATTCCCATACTCATAAAGAAAATACGGACCGAATAGCGACAGAGAAAATAATCCGAGGGAGGGGGGTAACAGCATTATTAGAAAGAGAAAAAGACATCGCATAACGTATAAGACTATCTATGTTTCCATTAATAACGAAAGAAAGAGAGAAAAGTTTAACAACATTGTTAAAAAAAAAAATGAAACGATGAAGAAGTACAACAATAGGATCTTGCACCAGTAAGAAGTTTTTTTTAAGGGCTAAAAGATACAATGTCTAGGTTATATAATGAGAAGAGGCTAGAACGATACAACTAGAATAACATTGGAATAGAAGCCATAAGGAAGAATACCTAGAAGGAAACCTAGGAAAACATGGTTTGATGTAGTAGAAAGTCTAAAAGCTCTAGGAGTCAAAGACTAGAAAGAAGTAATTCATGGTAGGAACATGTGAGGTGTAGCAATGGTAGCAAAAACTCTTAAAAAGCAGACACATCAATTTTATCAAATTATTTACGAGAATAAAACATTTAAAAAAAAAAAAAAATTAAAATGAAAAACATGCTTCGACCGTGGCAAAATTCACTTGTTTTTATAAACTCATACATATTTAAATGTTTAAAATCGAACCACAGGAAATTACTTGATTCTTGTCAGTCGTTTAGATCTTTTTAACGAAAATCGCACGGTGTTTGCAGTGGCCTTAATAGTATTATATTCGAGTGGAATTTCGTTCAGAGTTTTTTAGAGGTTTCGTCAACGCCGTTTAAATACGAAACTTTGTATATAATATTCGGTTAGAATAAATTAATTTTCAAACATTTATCGAAAAACGGACGGCGGAGGTAAACGGTCCAGTCCTAAGTCTTAACCGCGGTGGCCAGTCTAAAATCACTATCTAAAATAATGACCTTTAGGCAACAGGGCACCGACCGACAGTCCAATTAATAATGTTATTATCGGGTCTATGGAAAATACTCGAATCTCGACATTACGTATTTATATTATACAGCTAGATATTATTGTTTAGTTGTGTTTTTTCTCCTCCGCTTTTAGTGTTATACAAAGACGGACGGTTATTTTTTTATATAATATTATTATTGTGTAGAGAAGAAGGTGTGCGTAGCATGGTGTTTCAGAGTTGGAGTAGTGGTAATATTAGCCGGTTGTTTACAGCGATAAGGAATGCTGCGTGTTGTATATTATAATAATATATGTATGTATTTCGAAATACAATAATAATAACGACGTTATTCTAAACGATAAACACGGAATGACGAATTTACTGCTCTATAGGCGTCAAATGAATAAGACAGAAAAAAAAAAGCAACTAGAAAATAATAATAATTATCGAGAATTTCACCTAATTCCGGCCGGGGCACGCAGTTCGATGACGACGATGTTTATCGCTCGAAAGCGTTCGTGTATATCTATATAGGTGGGGGTATATTACAGTATTAGGAAAAAAAAAATGTAATAAAAAAATCTATTTCCCGTTTCTAGTGATCGTACTTGTAATGTATAGCCGGGGTTCTTCTTCGAGGAAAATGCGCGTATTGTATACCGTGCGTCGTACCTAACGCGCCGTAGTAAATGATTTCACCGGATTTCTAGTTGTTAACAGTGGTGCCTACGACGTTTCAGTATTTATACACAGTGAAAGCGTGTAATACACATAAATATATTATTATATTTATATATATTTTATACCCGCTACGAGTATTATTATTTGTATTCAAAATAGGCGAGGGAAAAACCGCGGATATTTCATTACGGTAGTTTTTTACCAGGGTACAATAAATGTCACCTTGATACCTTCAGGAAAAAAAAAACTGCGAAATTTCAAACGGCTGGTGTATTTACGGGAGAAAAAAACGGATATAATAAACGATGAAGAACATTAGGTACAGAGTCGAAAGTAAAATAGGAATATATAGGTAGGTATAAAATAAAAATAAAAGATTTAAATTTTTAATTACTTTTTAAAACTATTTTTTTTGTTTTATCATTTCCAGTCTATAATCGTTTTCTTCATTTTTATTATTACAAATTTATATCGAAAATAATAATATGGCGGACGAGATGTTTTATTGAACATTAGAATTTGAACTGTTCGTAAAGATAAACTAAATCTCTAAAACTCACACGAAAATTCCCATCACAGATATTTAACGTCTTTTTACAACGTAAATAAAGCTAATAATAAATATTTGAGAGTATTAGTAGCCAGCTATAAAAAAAAAAATAAATAAATAAATATAAAACTAGTAAGGCTATGTCTGTCAAATGCAATTTACAGTAGCCAGGGATTCGACGGTAAGAATTAAAATTATTTATGATTGTGATTCATTGAAATCCATAAAAAAAATAAATTTTTTTTATCAAAAGTTATAAAACAAGCATAAGAGTGACGTACATCTGGTTACTGCTTGATTTTGTCAACCTACTATTTTACATACTCTAATTATCATAAGAGGTTAAACAGCCAGTACTCAAAAGGTCAAAACATAGATTGATAAAATATTACACAGCAGTCAGTGAATTTTAAATATTTTCAATATCTATAATAACGGTTTAATAGATCTATTTAGTGTTGCTACACAGTTTTCAATCCAGGACACCTCACTATTATTAAAATTTTGATAACAATAATAATATTAAACGTAATATCATAATAATATTAAGAAATATGAAATAATAAATAAGTAACACATATCGTGCACATGTCAACTAATTACTTAAAAAAAATAAATAAAAAAACACATGAACACTTGTACACATGTGAAAAATTATAATGTTCCCATGAACTTGTATATAAAGATGAATAACATTGTGCTTAAACACAACTGCTGATGTGCATCGGTTAAAATAATTGTATATTATTTTCAATTAAGAACATTTAAATAAGGAAGTCCTAGTGGTAACACTAAATACATTTTAAATATAAATTAATCAAAAATTTAACCTAATGTTTTCATTACATATTTTTGTATTAATAATGTTCTTGAACCATTAAAATCAAATTATTCTTTAACACAATTTAACTATAGAATCTTAATTAGGCATAGAAAGTACCTAAGTGTTTTTTAATAAGTAGGTAGTTTGTATCATTCATTTAAGAATATTATATTGATTTTTGTTTTTAGAGGAATTTTTCATTATTAATTTCTAAATATTACAAGTATTTGAACAATTTTGATAAAAAATGAGTACAATAACATAAGTATTATAATGATGAATTAATTAAATAGAAAAAAAACAAGCGATAATAATAATATTTTATAAAACTAAGGAGGTAATCATTAAAATCATTAAAAAAATGCTCAGTAAGTAATACTGGATAATGTCACGTTTTAGATATTGATAAATCATTTAGTTATTTATTTCAAAATGTTAATAGACAGTTAATAATGTTGTATGTTTATATTTTTTAAACATAGTTATTATTAACTAAAAAAAAACACGAATATATCACTCACAATCAAAATGGTCTGCCTTATTTTTAACAGATCTGTGAAGAATATAGCTGATCCTCTTTTCATTATCATTTTTTATTACGATAAGGTGACAGTTCAATTTCCTAGTAATTATATTATATTTTTGTATTTGAATCTAGTTCACGACTATTAATTTGTTATACCGAAAATGTACTTAATCAATTATTAACAAGTACAGAGATGTCGTTGAATTTTATTAGTTTTTCTTAAGTTCAGATTTAACAATAATAATTATTATAGATAAAACAAAATTAATTTAAAAAATCAGTGGAAAAATATTAATGATAATCATATGATAAACAAATGAAACTACTATTATAAATAAATAATAATAGATAAACTATTATTTATTAAGGCTTTTAGAACTAATTATAAGTAGTTATTTGCTTTTAGACACGGAATATAACTTATTGGATAATTGAACATTGTACCTCCTTAATATAAATATGAATGTGTGTTTTTTTTATCAATACCACGCATATTTGTTTAAAAAACAAAACATCAAATATAATGATATATTCATAGAATACATTTCAGTAGTTTTTATTTTGGCATTATTACAATGATATAACTATACAAACATTAACAAGTGAATGAATAATAAATACCTACTTAATATCATGTTCATTCATATTTGTTTATTTTTAAAAAAAATTATCACAATAAGGTAAAAACTATAAAATTGGTTTATTAACATTATTTAAAACCTAATTTAAACAAGACAGTACCTGAAATTATTATTATGTATTTCTTGTTTTACTATATTTGTAATAAGTTTCCTCCTTACAAATTAAACAAGCTAAAATCACAAATAGTTGGTATATTAGTAGAACATTTTCATCATATGGCCATATGTAAAATATTGAAGGCACTGTAATTTTACATGAATCAAAAATGTTCAAGTGATCATAAATTCTGCCTGCACAATGGTAAAAATGAAACAACTGCTAAATTACTCCTTAAAGGTTTTAAAGCCCACAAAACACCGGAGCTTCGCATTATACATTAATATAATATTATCTAAAAACTGTTTTCTAATGCAGATTTGTGGTCTTTTAAGAAAATCTAGATATGGAGTTTCTGTCATATTTTACAAAATGTCTATAACTTGAGTGGTGTCTTAGTTTCTCAATTGATTGTAATTTAATAGAACTTAATTAACAATCAACTAGATACCTAATACTTAGTACTAAGTGTCCGTGCATTAAAATCTTTCAGTATGGTTACTATTCTTTATGGTAGTAGGTAACATATTTTAGTTTATCAATTCACAATATTCAACAAATCATAATATAAAACAATGGACTGAATAATGAAAATTATTGAGTTCGGTTTTTAAATTGTTCAAACATGTATAATGTAAGTGTATATTATAAATTAACTAGTACGTCTGATATATTATGAATGATTTGAACATAATATAAGTTAATTATTAGTTTGAAATTAATGGCGATAATTTTAATTCAAACCAACACCACAGAATATGGACCTACCAATAAATTTATCAACTACTCATCGGCCAATAGGGCAAATAGTGGTCTGACAACATAACATATATGCGAGAAATAACGTACATATTTAATATTTATAGTATTCTGTAACTAAAATATGGATTTATGTAAGTAGATATCGGTCAACACTGTAAAACATATTCTGTAAATACTAAATAGGTATGTATAAAAAAAAAACAAATAGGTACAGTTTTTTTATACAGTGTATAGAGAGAATAGTAGAAGTCGGATAAGACAAAGATAAGAGGAAAACCGTAGGAAACAGAAATCATAAGGACAAGAATTGGGTTTGGTTAAATACCTAAGTACCTATACAGTATACTTTGAAAAATGAACTCTCATATACAGTAGGTACTCACCTCGTATTTGAGTCCGACCAGCCTGAGCCATGTCTCTACCTTGAGACAGTACGGGGACATAGACGCGATGACGGGCGTACGCGAGAACTGATACAGGTAAACGACGTCTTTTTCGAAATTTTGTTTCTTTACCGAGAACTTCGGTGCCGGCGGTTCGGCCGGTGCCGATTCCTTTTCATCTTTCTCAGCGGTCGCCACCGGTTTCTTTTCATTTTCCTGTTTGTTGTTTGCTTCGACAGCGGGTTCCACAACTTCTTTTACCGGTTCTTTGATGTCCTGCGGGACGTTTTTCGTCTCTTCGGTGGTCGCCGTCGTCATGTTTCTGTTTTACGTTTGTCGGACGTGTGCAGCAATCGAACGATGTTGATTTTCTGAGGCGGCGGCGGTGTTGGTGGATGTGGCGGCGGCGGCGGCGGCTATGGTGGTTAATAACACAAGCTGTTGCTATGTGTGGTGTATGGCGGCGACGTCTCGACGGAGTAAACTCTACACAGAAAAAAACGACGAATTTAGAAAAAAGAAAAATTATACTTATTTAACGGCAACCGGCGTCAGCGGCGAGGACTCTGCTCTCTCAAAAACACGCACACGCACGCGCACGCAATGAACAAACGAACACAAAACGGGATGAAAGGCGCGCGAGTACGAAGTACTGTGCGTGTTTCGGTAGAGAGCAAAGTAACAAGAAAACCAATAAAAGCAAACTGCAAAAATGCCGTTCTGACGGGTTGTCGTTAATGGTGGTTGTGGTGGTGGTGGAATAAAATCAAATCGTAACGAAAAGTAAAAATAATATTCGTAAATAATATTGAAGTTACTATTATACACGAACCAGACGGTTAGCGGCAGGAAAAGGACGCGAGTTCGAATGCACGAATGACGATCGGCGGTGGCGGCCGGAGCGTTGTTGCAGCCGGGTATCGCGTTGGTCAAGAGTGACGCTAACCCGGCGCGCATGCGCACATCGAACCGCGCTTGACTAACGTGCAACGCCGCCGCCGCCGCCGCCCCTCGCCGCCACGCCCTGTCCACCGTCGCCGCGCCGCAGCCCGCAGCAGCTAGCGGCCGCGTACGAGCCTCCGTTTTTGTACAGTGTCGGTCCGTCTCAGGGATATAATAATAATAATATTCTCACGTTATTCGTTATAGAATGCTCGTTACAATATTATTCCGGCATCGCCGAAACCATAATATTCCAGAACAGAAACATTATATTATAATATATCCATGCGTTGGCGGTAGGTACGCAAGATTATTCGATCCGATTTTCTTGTCGAAAACGTACGATATTTCGTATACGCGTCTGAGGTTAGGCAGTAGTCCGGGCGCGGCCGCGGCGACGCCGACGGACGTGATTTTTACCACGTCCCGCAACGACAACAATAAAAGGCGGCGTCGCATGTGTTTTCTCACGGCTTTTCGACGACAGCGTTTCCTCCCGGCCGTTCTTCGCCGTCACCGAACCCTTCGACGTTGTATATTAATAACGAAAAAACTCCGTGACGCGTTACAGTACCCGACATAATATTATTATTTTCGTGACCGTCAACGGAAATAAGAGGACGCGAACCGTACCGATATAATATGAGGTATAGAAAAAGAGAGAAAAAAAATACCCTTGACACTTGTTGTGTTATCGGCTTTATTATGTCCGAGAGACGCCCTGAAAATCGCGCGCGTACCGTGAACGTTTATTGTGCTCTGTTTAAGAATTCTTAAACGGGTAGGTATCTAAAACAGGACGCTGTCACTGTCGCCACTGAATGTCACCAGGCGCGGTCGTTTCGTCTTGTCGTCTCGTCGTGTTTACCTACCCGACAGCTATTATGCCTGTTTAGTAGCTATAGACGATTTGCCAAGCACTGCGCGTATAGGAATTTATTTGCCTTCAGCTTTAGTTAACCGGTAGAAAACTGCAGTTTGATACGGGCGCGTAATTTATGTGTAGGTCGATGGTTTTCGATATTATTATAATAAAATGTGTAATAAATCGTCCTAATATTTTTTTTTTTATTATGTCTTAAAACATTGAAAAATTGGCCTTGTACAACTACAGGTTTTTGTTATACAAAATTTAAATTAAACTTCAAACGCTTGTAAACGCAAACAAAAATTGAAACAATACGCTAAACTGTAGTAAGACCAATAACTTATAATATGATGAACCTTGTATACAATTTTCGACCATTTATTTATATGAACCCCGGCTCCCGGAGAAGTTTTATCCGCCTAAAATCGAAAAAATATATGTCAGATCTGTATAAATAACTCGAGAAGAGACAAAATATTTCGGAAATTACCTGTTTCATCAATCTAGATAATACTAACATATTCATTGAAAAATCATGGTTGATTTGTGTCACTGAATTACTGTACAAAAAAAAAATAATAATCGATTTGACAAAAATCGGTGAAGTTAAGCGTATACACTTATTCTTTTATTTTTTTCGGTCTTCTCCGATGAATATAGAAAAATTACGAAAAATATCAAAAAACGACCTCAGTTCACCAATTAAATCCAAAACGCTACAAGAAAGTTCGCATGAAGTTTTTGATTTGAACGCGGTGTTTATATCTGATCACAGATACGTAGGTACTATTAATATGAAAAAAGCGCATTAAAAACGAAATTGGACATTTATCGCTTAGCTCAGAATCTAAAATTATGAGAAACGATTCTATACAGAGAAATAAATGTTTAGTAGAAGACATCTTTATTATACTCGTAGAAAAGGGGACTCTATACATTACTGTTAGGATAAAACGGCGACCCGTGTATCATTATTTAGGTTAAAAGGACTGTATGTATATATATATTTATGGTATATAATATATAAACGAAAAAGATATTTTTCTCGTCTCTCTCGCAACGAAATACAATTGGGGTACGAGATAAATAAATTATAACGACGATGACGAATAAAGAGACGGGAAAGAATTAATAAATGATGAAGGAGAATAATAATAATAATAATTGTGTAATTGAAGTTTATAAGGATGACGATGATTTGGATGTATACCTAATAAAAAAATTAAAAAACTGTGGAAATATTTTAACTGAATAGAAATTGTAAACTCTCGAATGTACAATGTACACTCTCGAAAGTATACCTATACATTTATATTCTCCTTAGTTATAAGTACCTGATTACATTATATTATTGCGTGGTTAATATAATTAATATAGTTCCGTGGTATATAATAATTTAATATAAAATACTATGGGAATGTTAAAATAATGACAACATTTAAAATATTATACCTATTCGAATTCTGGACAATTTTAAACTAGGCATATAAAACTTTAATTACATAATTGCATACGAACTCGTTTATATGCAGTAAAAAATTATAGGTATACAGAGTGATTTAAATTACGTAAAACACTCAATATTATCTGGGAAATTATGACTTTTTCTGGGATTTAAGAAACAAGCAGCTCAAAAAGATTAGGTACATTACCGTTAATTTTTGACACCTCTATTTTTGGATGTAGAACTCACTGCTCACTTTTTATTCACAAACATTATGTTCAAAATTTCATAAATATATGACGTTATTATGTAAGAGCATTTTGACGTTTAAAATTTCCGTCAACCCATTGAATATTTCGTTTTTAAATTTTATTTGAAAATCAAAAATAGTGGGTAGTGTAAAAATAAATGTGACGGTAATTTAATATTTTATAGAGCTACTTGTTTCTTATAAGTTTTTTAAAAGAAACAAATTCCGTAAAAATTGATACTTTCTGCGACATAATGATGAGTGTCTTGCATTATGTCGATCACCCTGTATATAATACTGTACGGACTTAGAGCCACATATAAAATAAAGACTATATAGGGAGTATTATTTTACAAAATTGCGTGTGTGACACATTATAATATTTGGCGTGTAATATGTATATATCTATTATGAAACAGGTGAAGTTCTCGTATGTTTCGTTATCAATACTCTGGAGTTCGTTTTTAGTCTGTACAATAATCTAACCTACCTACGTTAATATTAAAAAAAAAAAAAACATTTTTGTATCGCGGAGGGAACGTTTTTAAAACATATTTTTCCAATTGTTTTCGATAATTTGAAATAATATTTTCACGCTCGGTACATTCGATTATTCGAATAATAGGTACTTAAATAAAAAAATGTATTATGCAATGTTTATATTGGGTTCAATAAACACATTGTCAATTAATTTGATTGCTACAGTTATTGTCGCGGGTCTTGCTGTTTTAAATTATTTCAATAATTATGATGATGGTAACAGTCACAGTTTATAGGCATCTCAATGATTAGTTACATAATAATTTGAATACAAATATTATATTATACAAATTGGTTTGATTTTTATCAAAAATATGTTATTTATGACAATTGTGTAGCTACTAAGTAGGTATACATGATATAGTTGTATAGTACATTTTTTGAATTCCAAAATAAATAAACATGTGTTTGGCACCTAATTTTAAAAATGTATATAATACTTGACCATAATAAATGATAATGATGTTACTCCTATGGCCCTATCATCTTGTCAAATTAGATAGATAGGTACGAATTTATTGCCTGAAGTTATTTAGAATGCGGAAACCTATATAGGTACAAATATCCTAAAATTTTATTTCAGATAGAAGTTAAAGGAATTCAATTTCAACACCATCAGGAGAAGTACCTTTCGATAGGTATTTACCTAAATATGTATAAAATAAAACAATTAGTATAATAGAAATATGATAAATCTAGTTAATGAAGTATTAATAATATAATATAGGTATTAATAAATACCGAATAAAAATCTAGATTGTTTTCACTCTGAATAATAGTCACGATTTTACAGCAAGCATGTTAATTACATATTTGTCTCTTTAATTTCGATAGGCTTATTACTATAAAGTATTTAAATTTTAAATATCTATTAGCTATAATATATTATTGTACATTTATTTAGTCTTGAAGAAAAAGGGCTAAAGTAAATTTGTTGACATTTTTTTTTAAAACGATTTTGTTCCCTCTTTTGGCCTAAATAGCATAAATGTATATTTTTCAAAATTAAATTTATTTGTACTGAAAGCTGTAAAAAATTATTACCTACATAAACCTTCTTCTCCGAGGTGACAAGGTATAATGTACATATATTTCTATAATAAATAATAATAAAATAATACGTCGGTCGTGTTGTAGTTAGTACCATTTTATTAATTCTTGTGTGTTTCCTGCAAATATACATCATTTCATTACATTATAAAGAACTTTTTCGAGGACAATAATAATACATATCTTAATATAACTTTTGTTAACATAAGTACACCGTGCACCTACTCATCTCATATCTACAAGAGAGGATTTTTTTTATTATCTCATTTCCGTTCATAAATAAATTTAATTTTTAGATAAGGTTTGATTATTTGAATGATTTAAAATTTTACGATAATAACAGCAGTATATCTTTTATAACTGCAGAGTTCAGTACCTATACATATAATCGAGTACCCAAGTATACAATTATATTTTGTAGGTATATATTAAAGTTTAAAACCGCAATTATTATTATTATTTTATTTCATTATTTTGTAAACCTCAAAATATTATTCAGAAAACAAAGAAAGAAAAACGTTTTGCACTTAAATGTATTAAATAATGTATTCATAGGTAATAATAGGTAACCTATAATATTTACTTTTGCAATCATGATAGCGTGTCGAAAAAATTGAGTCCCTTATAATAAATAATAAAAAAAAGGGTTGTTTTTAATGTCCTTCGGAGGATAAAAATGTATTTTGCTACCGATAATATTGCACATAATATACTCGTAAATTAAATTAATTTTTTACATCGAAGCATTTTTAATTTTAAAACAAATCGAGTAGGTACCTACGTCCTATTGATTATTTATACATAATATTATTTCATATAATAATCTAGGAGATTTTAGTGATTTCATAATAAAAAAATAATGGTACAATATTAATATACAAATTATCTATCTAAATAA